GAAATCCATATTTGTGCACGTGTCTGCACCGTCCTCTCTCTCATGAGGCAGTATAGAGTCTGAATGTGTGCTGGAACAAAACGTTTATTAACAGTTTAGTATCTCTATGTGCACGCCCATGGGCGAAAAGGTTCCCTGAAGCACAAGTCAGATGAGCAACGGCGTACAGCTCGTGAGCCTCAGAAGGGCAAAGAGTCAAAGGATCATCTGTGGTTTGACCTCTCGTGTTCTTCCGTTAAATTCAGTTCCTCCCTCCGGACGCTTCGCGGCGCTGACGGCTCCGCTTCAACGCTGAAGGTTGACAAAACTTGGGAGACGCAGCGCTTAATAAGCTATTAAACTAAATGATTATGCCACAGAGGGAAAAATACGTTTATTTATCGCTTTCATCAGAGGGAGAACTCTTAATTCAAGGTGCACTTACTAGCTTTTCCCCCCAAAACGTTCATCTCAAGGGTCTTCCTCGGGGGACGAAGTCAAGAAAAAGCTGATGAGTGAACTAGCTCTTGACTTAATAAAGCACCAAGAGTTAATAGTGAGAGCTGAGAGTGACACGTTCATGTTTTCATTCAGTCAGAGTCTGAAGACCATCAGCTGCTGTTGTGTACTCGTCCTGTCACATTATTTGTGTGCCTCTTGCCTCGTTGATGGATCCTTCTCATGGGGGACCATGTGAACAGATACTTCTTCTTATTTATGATCGAGCCCCAGAGGATAAAGCTGTGATTTGTTAAGAAGTAGTGAAGCAGATGATCATGTCATCAGACCCTCGGAAGACATTAACCCGTTCAGGCCCGGATTCACAGAAGGACATGTGATTAAAACCTTTCCTTTAGTTTAAATGTTTAGATTTTGTAAAGATAAGTTTGGACATTTGGTTTAAACAAGTAGTATCATTTGGCATTTGTGGATTTTTTTTAATGTTACGTTATGAATATAACTCTGGACTGAACCTTTAGAGGCTCTACAAGTTACAATGTTTAATGTTTAATTTCTATTTTAGTTAAAACAAAAGAATTGTGCTCAAAGTGTATCCATCTGGAGTCTTTGGCTGCGTCAGAAGCTTCCGTACTAAAATCTTATTTCTCAGAATTGTGTGTGTATATTTCAATATTTTTTGTTTGTAGATGCAATGGAGAAAAAGTATTGCGATATATAAATATCGCAATACTTTTATCAGTGGGTGATAAATAACGACTTAACAGACATTTATTTAAATGAAAATCTTCGAGATTCCACTTTAATTCTCACATTTCAACAATTTATGGCGTTTACTCGTGTCCTCTGGTCCCGTGTGTGTGTGTGTGTGTGTGTGTGTGTGTGTGTGTGTGTGTGTGT